CCTTTGATTAATTTTGATCCAAAGGTTTAAAGATATTTTTGGTGATCTTAGTCCTTCTTTCTTATTGGTACATTCTTTAAAATTTGGATTAATATTTCTGACCATTGATTACTTAAGATCCAATGGCCAAGATTGTATCTTTTCATTTCCCTTCCTCAAGACTGTATCGATCTCTATCTCTTTCTATGTATCATTCTTCTCATCTCTCTCACTATCTCGAAAACACACACACACACATCTCATGTAACCCATATCTCCTTTCTATGTATCATGTCTCTCCTCATATCTCCTCTCTCTCTCTCTCTCTCTCACACACACACACACACGAATCTGAAGGTGGAGCCAAGCCCAGCGACTCCGGATCTGAAGATGCTGGACGACCGTCTCTCCTATTCGCCACCGTTATCTCTTACCACCACCACTCACCTCTCTCTCTCTCTCTCTCTTAAATCTAAAATTTTTGTTCTTGTTAGCAGATGTGGATGGAGAATCTGGTGGTTTTGAGCAGAGGTGGTGGTCATTGGGCTTGCGGCGAGGAGGCGATAGAGACTCTGGTGGTCGCGAGCAGTGGTTATCATGGGGCTTGCGGAGACGATGCGACGGCGAAGATGGTGGTAGGCCGGTGAGGATTGAAAGATGTAGAAGATGATAAAGATGGTGGTGGTGCGGCGGCATACGTTTAGTTAGATATTAATTAGGTTAAGCTTGGTTTAGGTTTTTGGTTTATTTGGTTTAGGTTTTTGGTTTATTTGGTTTAGGTTTTTGGTTTATTTGGTTTAGTACCTTTTTATTTAAAAATATTTATTGTTTATATTTTTGTAACCAATTTAATTGTAAATCATTTAAATAATAAAGGAAATTTAAATATATAAATTATTTTATATTATAATTATTTTTATTTTTAAATAATTAAACTAAAAATAATTCTAAAATAAATAAATTTTAATGTAAATAATAACAAAAAAATCATGCTATTAAAGACTCTTTAATTGCATACAAAAGAACGCTATAATATATGACAATAAAATAGCAGTGCAAAAAACCGCTATCTAAAGTGCTTGACCTATTATGACGGGCGATGATACAGCGCTTCATAAACCGTTATCGTATTGATAGATAGCGTTTTTTGTCCGCTAATAAAAGCCATTTTTCTTGTAGTGTTGCATTCATCCCATGTGGTGATAGAGTCACAAGGTAGAGAATTCTCTCACTGACGTGCCTTGTCCCCCAAGGAGAAAGGGAATAGCTTGAGCTTGAAGGCATCCTCGGACACACCATTGGTCTTTGACAACCCACAATAGCTGTAAACTTGTCCAAGTGATCAAATGGGTCTTCTACAGGCAAGCCATGATACTTGTTGTTCTCGATCATGTTGAGGAGTCCTAGTTTGACCTCAAAGTTGTTGGCCTCCACAGCTGGTGCTCTGATTCCCAACCTATTGCCATGAAGGTTTAGGCGGTCATAGGTACCAACTGGGGCGAGCTGGGCGCGGCGGGTGCACTGGTGGGTATTGGACATGGTTGTTAACTCCTTGTGGTGGGTCTTCCATTTCAGTATCCAACCGTTGTAAGTGAGCCTGTTGCTTTGCTTGTTTTCTCTGTCTTGCTATCTCTCTTGCTATCTCTCTTTCAAATGCTCTGGAACTCTTGGAACAAGGTTTGTTGTGCCTTTGCTCTTCAAATTCATACACCTGAAATCCAAAGAGAGATAAAGATGGAGAATCAGTAACAAAATAAAAGAAAAATGACCTAGTCTCAAGCAAGTGACTAAATCTCAATGTTTAAATCTACTCAGAATTTGGCAACGGCGCCAATTTGAAGTTAGGAGTTTTCAAGGCTCCTAAGACAAATGTTGTAGTATAAGAGATTGTCGAACCAATTCTAAGGGATTTTAATGCACTGAGAATGCAAGTACTCACTTAATCTAAGTGTAATCGAATAAATGATGGTTTTAAACTATAACTAAGAATAAGAAAAGCGAATACTAAAATAACTTCTTTGATTAAGAGAAAGGAGAACTAATGGGAGTAGGGGTTAGACCTTGGGTGATCAAACTTCGAACTAAGGATGACAAATGATCAATTAAACTATCAACCTTAAGCCTAGACACACTTATAAGCAAGCTCTATGTCTAGATGAATGCTTATTTACTAACATAACTCAAACATGAAATGTATTTGGTTGAATGTTACATAAGTAATCTTTAAGAACAAGTCTATTGGCTATCTTAACACCGTTAACAACAAATGTCTTTGGTAAAATGTGTTAAAAGCTTAGGGGGGTTGGCTCAGGAATTTCATCGAACACCTTGTGAGGTGGGAAATGCCTAATGCTCAACTTTTGAGAGGCCAACTCAAAAGATCCATTAAGAATACTCTACTAGCAAGGAAAAGAGAAACCTACTCTAAACATCCTAATCCTAGTCTAATCACGCTTAATCTCCCTATCCCATGAATTCAAACGTGGATTACTCACTAATCTTTATGATTCCTGTTAAACCCATATTGGATTCAAGCTTAATCATATAAGATGAATGGAATATTCAATGAAACAAAACATGATTAAAATAACAAAAAGAATGATTCAAAAAGATGAACTTTCCAAGAGGTATTTGTGTGTTTTCTCTTCAAAATGAAGAATGAATCTGCCCGATAGGCTTACAGAATACTTAACTTAGGTTTAGAAATGTCAAAACATGAAGCAAATGAAAAAAAGGTCCTAAAATATCACAAGTTTTTCGTCACAACAAAAACACGCAGAGACCTGGCCACGTCGCTCTGAGACCTCGCTCCAAGGCCATCTCGGCTTCCAAAAACGATAAAAAGGCGAGCGACTAAAGATTGTCGCTCCTAAGTCGTCGCTACGGAGTGGAGCAACCTAGACATGTCGCTCTGATGGGTCACTCTGGATGCTTCTCGTTCAAGGGATTGAGCGACTTCGTGGAGCGGCCTTTGGAAATCGCTCTAGCGTGGAACGACTTCAGTGAGTCACTCTGGAACCTCGCTTTGGCCTCTTCTCGTACAACAATCACTTCTAACTCCTCTTTTGGACCTCAAATCCATACAAACTCTCCAAGAACTCCAAGGATACTCCAATACCTGAGAAGAACTCATGTATACAAAATGCAATCTAGAAATGGCTAAATCCTAGTCTATATGATCAAAATTCCTGTGGATGAATGGATAAAACAATGGAAATACTGAAGACATCACAAATTCTATAAAAATTAGAACCTATAAAAAATATTTTGATATCAATGGCCATTCTATTACTCAGACCACCTCTAGTCTGTACAATTTGACCAAAATAGAATAACCAAGGAAACAAAGAAACCTATGAAAAATCAAACAATTCTAGCTAAATATCAGCTGTCTCATTTTTCCCCGGGGAGTGAAGGATGGCTTGAAATAGTTGAATCTTCTCGTCAGTTCTTGTATCTCTTCATCTCTGTCAAAAAAGTCGGACACACCTGAGGTTCCTTTATCATCTCGATCAAATATTTACAATTTTTTCAAAATGATGACATACCAAATGATGCATCATGCTATCCATTAATCTATCAATAACTTNGCTTGAAATAGTTGAATCTTCTCGTCAGTTCTTGTATCTCTTCATCTCTGTCAAAAAAGTCGGACACACCTGAGGTTCCTTTATCATCTCGATCAAATATTTACAATTTTTTCAAAATGATGACATACCAAATGATGCATCATGCTATCCATTAATCTATCAATAACTTTAATAACGTAATCAACCTTAATTATATAAACTAGCTTTTGACCCGCGCGTCCGCACGGATGTATGTTCTATATAATTAAATGTATGTGTTAGTTGTAAAAACATTCATATTTTATATTTCATAAGTTATTGAATCCTGATGTCGGTGTATCTTGTTCATTTTGTTTAATGTTTTACTTAACTATCAGATTGTATTTTTTATATTGTATTTTTTATTTGGTAAACTAAACAATTAAATGTAAAATATTATAGTATCTTGCTTAAATTGTGTGTTTTATTAAATTATTTTATAAATTTTGTGATTGATATTATTATTTTAAATTAGATTTTATAGATATTTTTAAAAATAAATTATTTATACTGTAAAAATAAAAAAAAAACATTTACAAAATAATAAAATCTCTAGCAATTTTATTAACAAATGCCTTTTTGTTAAATTGAATTGGGTAATTTGGTTTTAGGCAATTTGATTTTGATTTAAAATTAGTGGACTTTATATTTTCATTAAACCCATTTAAAATTAAATGTTTTAACTTTAAGGGCATAAAATTGTAATTTTTGTGGAAAACTAAGGGGTATTTCCTATTTGTACTCCCCATTTAATAGTTTAGATAATAAAAACATAAGATCTTTATATTCTATGTCAATGTAAAACATAAACAGAAAATATGTTTTGAATATAGGTTTTTAAAGAACGAAACATCTAAATATTCTTAATACTATTTCTAATATTTTTTATTTATTTTAAGTTCCAAATATTTTTTACCAACCAACGCAATGAATCCATGAATATATACTGTATTGGGAAATAAATACATCTATTTATAATAACAGTGTTTCCTTCCTTTTTAGGTCCTCCACGTCGGATCCAGCGTGGAAAGTCGCTTGACTGGATGATGACACGTGTGAAACGACGCCTCTGTTTCATTAAACGAATTTGCGATGGGCTGCGTTGGGCTTAATTATGTTTTTTTGGCCTTCTTGCTTAGGAAACCTCAATAGTGACACTCTGTAAGAACGAGAGAGATGTGAGTATCTCTTGAAGGCAAGACGGTTCTGCTTCCGATTACTCTCAAGATCTTGAACGACCATCGTAAAACCTCACTGTTTAATCAATTTCTTGACATCAATGACCTCCCCACTACATCACCATGAACATCAACATCAATGATCCGTTCTCCGATTAGAGGTATAAATAGATGAGCGTTTTCTTCTACCTTCACCATTTGTTTCTTCGTATTGCTTAAATATAGTACCTTTGAAATGGCTAACACTAGGGTTCTTATCTCCGAAGTGAAGTCCGGCAGGTGTTATTCCAGCGTTGAGGCTAGACTCCTCTGTTTTTGGGAGGTGAGAAGTGGTAGCCGTAGTGGTGAATTAACGTTTCTCGACATGCTAATGATCGATGTTAATGTAAGTAATATTACCATCTGATTTCAATATTGCGTAGATGTTTTCTATCTGATTATAAGATGTTATGTATGACTCAGATCTTTGAAGAACCAAAAAAATGCTTTCGTTTCATTTATTTCTGTATATTGGTTCTTAGATTTAGGTTATCATCACATTTTATCATTCCGCTATTCTTTAGGAAGATCGTCGAAGAATTCTGACGTGGTGGAGATTCGGGTTCTACAAATCTAGAAATCTAGAAAGGTTTAATCTTTGTATCCTTTCATGTAGTTTATCTACTCATTTGCGTTGACTCTATAGGTGTCTTACCTTGAGATTAAAAGTCTTTTCTTTTAAATGTTTCATTAAGAATAATCTACTAGCAAGGAAAAGAGATACCTACACTAAACATCCTAATCCTAGTCTAATCACGCTTAATCTCCCTATCCCATGAATTCAAATGTGGATTACTCACTAATCTCTATGATTCCTCTTAAACCCGTATTAGCTTCAAGCTTAATCGTATAAGATGAATGGAATATTCAGTTAAACAGAACATGATTAAAATAACAAAAAGAATGATTCAAAAAGATGAACTTTCCAAGAGGTATTTGTGTCTTTTCTCTTCAAAATGAAGAATGAATCTGCCTGATAGGCTTACAAAATACTTAACTTAGGTTTAGCAAATGTCAAAACATGAAGCAAAGGACCAAAAGGTCCTAAAATAACACAAGTTTTTCGTCACAAAAAAAACACGCAGAGACCTGGCCACGTCGCTCTGGGAGGTTGCTTTGGAGCTGGAGCGACGTGGCCTGGTCGCTCTCAGACTTCGCTCCAAGGCCATCTCGGCTTCCAAAATCGATAAAAAGGCGAGCGACTAAAGATTCTCACTCTCAAGTCGTCCCTCCGGAGTGGAGCGACCTAGATAGGTCGCTCTGATGGGTCACTCTGGATGCTTCTCGTTCAAAGGCTTGAGCGACTTCGGGGAGCGGCCTTTGGAAATCGCTCCGGCGTGGAACGACTTCAGTGAGTCTCTCCGGAACCTCGCTTTGTCCTCTGCTCGTACAACAATCACTTCTAACTCCTCTTTTGGACCTCAAATCCATACAAAATATCCAAGAACTCCAAGGATACTCCAATACCTGAGAAGAATTCATGTATGCAAAATGCAATCTAGAAATGGCTAAATCCTAGTCTATATGATCAAAATTCATGTGGATGAATGGATAAAACAATGGAAATACTGAAGACATCTCAAATTCTATAAAAATTAGAACCTATAAAAAATATTTTGATATCAACTGCTATTCTATTACTCAGACCACCTCTAGTCTGTACAATTTGACCAATATAGAATAACCAAGGAAACAAAGAAACCTATGAAAAATCAAACAATTCTAGCTAAATATCAGCCGTCTCATTTTTCCCCGGGGAGTGAAGGATGGCTTGAAATAGTTGAATCTTCTCGTCAGTTCTTGTATCTCTTCATCTCTGTCAAAAAAGTCGGACACACCTGAGGTTCCTTTATCATCTCGATCAAATATTTACAATTTTTTCAAAATGATGACATACCAAATGATGCATCATGCTATCCATTAATCTATCAATAACTTNGCTTGAAATAGTTGAATCTTCTCGTCAGTTCTTGTATCTCTTCATCTCTGTCAAAAAAGTCGGACACACCTGAGGTTCCTTTATCATCTCGATCAAATATTTACAATTTTTTCAAAATGATGACATACCAAATGATGCATCATGCTATCCATTAATCTATCAATAACTTTAATAACGTAATCAACCTTAATTATATAAATAATAAAAACATAAGATCTTTATATTCTATGTCAATGTAAAACATAAACAGAAAGTATGTTTTGAATATAGGTTTTTAAAGAACGAAACATCTAAATATTCTTAATACTATTTCTAATATTTTTTATTTATTTTAAGTTCCAAATATTTTTTACCAACCAACGCAATGAATCCATGAATATATACTGTATTGGGAAATAAATACATCTATTTATAATAACAGTGTTTCCTTCCTTTTTAGGTCCTCCACGTCAGATCCAGCGTGGAAAGTCGCTTGTCTGGATGATGACACGTGTGAAACGACGCCTCTGTTTCATTAAACGAATTTGCGATGGGCTGCGTTGGGCTTAATTATGTTATTTTGGCCTTCTTGCTTAGGAAACCCTAATAGTGACACTCTGTAAGAACGAGAGAGATGTGAGTATCTCTTGAAGGCAAGACGGTTCTGCTTCTGATTACTCTAACGATCTGGAACGACCATCGTAAAACCTCACTGTTTAATCAATTTCTCGACATCAATGACCTCCCCACTACATCAACATCAACATCAATGATCCGTTCTCGGATGAGAGGTATAAATAGATGAGCGTTTTCTTCTACCTTCACCATTTGTTGCTTCGTATTGCTTAAATATAGTACCTTTGATATTGCTAACACTAGGGTTCTTTTCTCCAAAGTGTAGCCCGGCAGGTGTTATTCCAGCGTTGAGGCTAGACTCCTCTGTTTTTGGGAGGCGAGAAGTTGTAGCCGTAGTGGTGAACTGACATTTCTCGACATGCTAATGATCGATGTGAATGTAAGTAATATTACCATCTGATTTCAATATTCCGCAGATGTTGTCTATCTGATTATAAGATGTTATGTATGACTCAGACCTTTGAAGAACCAAAAAAATGCTTTCGTTTCATTTATGTCTCTATATTGGTTCTTAGATTTAGGTTATCATCACATTTTATCATTCCGCTATTCTTTAGGAAGATCGTCAAAGAATTCTGACGTGGTGGAGATTCGGGTTCTACAAATCTAGAAATCTAGAAAGGTTTAATCTTTGTATCCTTTTATGTAATTTATGTACTCGTTTGCGTTGACTCTATAGGCTATAGGTGTCTTACCTTGAGATTAAAAGTGTTTTCTTTTAAATGCAAAAGTGGTTCAAAGATGTAGAAGATGATTTGGAGACGTAGATAAGGTTGACCATCTTGAATGGACTTGACAATGGATATCGTAATCGGTAGCAAGTTTAAGCTTGTCGTAAGATCGGCGGTGGTTCTTTCGGAGAGCTTTTTCCAGGTAAAAGAGATTGCATTTATCTGATTCTTCTGACTACGTTTTAAATCTGTTGATTGAATCTGATTATTAAAAACATTTTATCAGGTGTAAGTGTGCAAATAGGAGAAGAAGTCGCTGTAAAGCTGTTATTTTTATTTTAATCCGCCTCACTTCTATTTTTAAAACATGTGATGTAACATCTCATTATAATTTATATATTTAAACGTTGTGTGAACATTGAAGGAGCCTGCAAAAACTAAGCATCCACAACTACATTGTGAGTCGAATATATACATGCTTCTAAATGGGAAGTAAGTTTACAAACTATAAGTATTAGTTTGCTGGTTATATTGTGTAGAAAGATGATTGATTCAACATTGTTTATCTGTGGATAGCTGATTGCTTAATTTGATTTTTCTGTTGTTGAAGGTGGCATCCCTAGCCTCAAGTGGTTTGGTGTTCAGGGACACTACAATGCGATGGTTATTGATCTGCTTGGACAGAGTTTGGAGGATTTGTTCAGTTATTGTAATAGGAAACTCACTTTGAAGGCAGTTCTGATGCTAAATGGTGGGTATTCTCTCAAGTGATGCTTTTAACTTTGATGAAGGAATAGTGTTAACAAGTTTTGAGATTGAGCAAAAGATGTTCGTTCACCATTGTCGATTAGCAGAGTTGAGTATATGCATTTAAGGGGGTTTCTTCACCAGGACATAACACCAGACAATTTCTTGATGGGACTTTTGTTTGTACACTAGAGGAAGTTATATTAAGCTTTTATCTTATCTCACATGGTTAATGTTGGTATGAATGTAGGTGTATATTGTTGATTTTGGAGCTCTCATGTGTATGTCTGTATGCTTCTTCTTCTATTTTGTCTTACAATCACTCCTACTGTTTTCATTAACAGAAAAAACAAGAACCTTACGGGCACAGCTCGGTATGCTAGCGTCAACACTCACTTTGGAGTTGGTAAGCAACTCATAAACCTTCTCGAGATCTATACTCCAAAGTTGTATATATAAAGACGTATGCCTGTTTGCATTTTGTTTGGCAGAGCGAAATCGGAGGTTTGATCTAGAGTCTCTTGGTTACGTGCTCATGTATTTCCTTAGAGGAAGGTTGAGCACACAGATCCTCTTTCTTCAAGGGTCTACGAGGCGATACAAACATTTTCAAGTGTGCATTTGTGTAATCTCATGTACTGTCCTTCTGACAAATATTATTTTGTATAATCTTTCTTTAGCTTCTTTAGTTACATATAATGTATGTCTTATTTGTCATACAGGTTGCTGAGCTTCCCTTCTTCGCCATCAAAGGTGCATCTAGGAATATGTGGGGTCAATGAAGTGTACGGTCTTGGACCATTGAGTGAATACGAGAGGTAATATTTAAAATCTTATGTTTACTTCACTTTGGCTTCGAACTTGTTCTGCGTTCATATCGGTTTGGTTCCCCATTGCTCAGGATGGGAATGGAGAAGGCAAAGAAAGAGCTTGAAGGGAGTATTGACAAAAGGTGTTACCTTTGTGAAGAAGTAAACACAGTTGATAAACACTTAGTTTTATCTTTCGAACAGTGATTTGTTTGGAATAAGAACAATACCTCACAATTAAAGCTCCTGCGAGTACTCTGATTTTTTTTTAAGATTTAATAAACTGCAATCACTCTGTTTTTAGATACAAGAACATTTATGAGTTCATATTCATATCTTCTTGGTAAGTGTGGGAGTCGATTTCACCCTACTGTCAAATAAATCGTAAATAAGGAAACTTTGGGAAAAACCCTAAGTTTCCAGAGGAACCGGCTATCTGCGAGAACCGCACAACGAAAATAAGAAAACGATAACTTAGAATAAAAACGAAAATAAGAGAGGTTTGAGAGCAAGAAGGTTCTTATTCCGAATCTGCGTTGAACTGGTTACAAAAAGAGTAGCCGAAAACGTATGAACTTAGAAAACCCTAATTGAGACGCA